GAGCGCGGCCCGGCGGCTGCGTGCTGCCCCCTCCGCGGAGGTTAGCGCCTGGCGCGGCCTCCTGGGGAGCGCTTTTGTGGCAAGGAAAGACCTAAATAGCTCCCAGCAAAGGCCAAGGCCCAGAGTCGATTAAAAGATAATTTATATTTATGGTGCGCCGGGACGTGTGTTAAAGGCAGGCTCCCCGTGTGGAGGCCACAGGCCGCCAGTGGAATGACCGGTGCTGCAGTGTCGAGATGAGCTGTGGCCATCAGCAGAGACCCGGAGCTGGGCCAGCCCTGTGGTGGTGTACAAAAGCAATCTCCACTTACGCTCATGAGGTTCACATGCAGCGTTTTTACATGTCGCCTTGTTAACATGTACGTTACGTTAACGTGCGCTTTGTCAAAAGTGGCTTAACGGCACAGAGATGTTTCTGCAAAGGGTCCATTTGGGGATCTACTGTAGTGATTAGATTATGGAAAATTTGTAAAAAGCCTTGTTTTGTAGCAAGCATGAAGCATAAAACAATTTCTTAATTCTGTCTCTGTCATTAAAGCTTCTCATTATAAACCGTTAGCAATAGTTTAAAGTCATTTGACACATTGCCATAGTAGTCCGACGGTATCCAGGCCTGTAGACTCACCTGCTGTCAGCATAATGCACCGATTTGTGTTCAGGGCTGATTACGTTCAAGCAGTCTCTGATCATCAACCAGCTATTATTTCAGAGCAATGTGAAAGAAGGTGGCTTCTGCTTCTACCACAGGAAGTGAATATAAAATAAACTCTTTTTTTCTTTTTTTTTTTTTTTTTTACTTTTTCAGCTCATTCTCATTACTCCTTTTCAATATATGATGGGCTGAACTGAATTACACTTTATCAGCAATGTCTCTGGTATTGTATTTGTGGTAAGAGGAGATACTTGGACTTCATGTGTGACAGGCTTAAGCCTGTAGGCATGTGTAAATTGTAAGTGTACCCAAGCTGGTTTAAAAAAGCCTGAACCAATATTATTTTTATTATAACAAAATGATCCACAGCCTTTGGAATAAAATTATCATGACAAAAGTATTATCCTTTATTAAAGACATTACAAAACAATAAAATACAGGATTGGGTTTGACTTTAGTAATAGCATGGCCTTGCTGTCATCCAGTTCCCAAAAGCAAAACTACAAGTAGTCTACAGAAACCTTTACTCAGGTAAGTACTGTTAGCTGATTTATTTCTGATACTGCTGTTCTTCTCTCTTGTCATGTATTTCTGTGTAAAGCTGTTAGGGAAGGGAAAAGGTCCAAAATACAGATATGAACTAATGTTAGCTGAAGGAAAATTTAGGACAATATTTTCAGAAAAATAATATAATAATAAGTGAAAAGGAAAATATAATCAAATGTGTTCCTAACAGTGGTACATTAATGATGTAGGAGTTTCAATAAGGCCAAATGCCGGGGGCTGCCCTTGGGCCACAACAACCCCCAGCAGCGCTACAGGCTTGGGGAGGAGTGGCTGGAGAGCTGCCAGTCAGAGAGGGACCTGGGGGTGCTGATTGCCAGCTGTCTGAACAGGAGCCAGCAGTGTGCCCAGGTGGCCAAGAAGGCCAATGGCATCCTGGCTTGTGTCAGCAATAGCGTGGCCAGCAGGGACAGGGAAGGGATCTGACCCCTGTACTCGGCACTGGTGAGGCCGCCCCTCGATTCCTGTGTTCAGTTTTGGGCCCCTCACTACAAAAAGGACATTGAATGACTCGAGCGTGTCCAGAGAAGGGCAACGGAGCTGGTGCAGGGTCTGGAGCACAGGTCGTACGGGGAGTGGCTGAGGGAACTGGGGATGTTTAGTCTGGAGAAGAGGAGGCTGAGGGGAGACCTCTCTGAAACGAGCAGAGAGCTGGGGATGAGTCTCTTTAACCAAGTAACAAGCAATAGGACAAGAGGCAATGGTCTCGGGTTGCACCAGGGAAGGTTTAGACTGCATATCAGGAAGCATTTCTTTACAGAACAGGTTGTGAGGTGTTGGAATGGGCTGCCCAGGTCAGTGGTGGAGTCCCCATCCCTGGAAGCATTTAAGAGTCGTGTTGACATAATGCTGAGGGATAATGGTGTAGTTGGGAACTGTCATAGTTAGGTTAATGATTGGACTAGATGATCTTCAAGGTCTTTTCCAACCTTGATGATTCTGTGATATTTTTCAAATACTGTTTTCTTTTAGTCAGATAAAATGGACCATTATGAAAGAAAAATACTTTGATAGGGGCATAATCCAAATAAAAGTATTGACTGTGATGGTTGCATCTGCACGGTGTGCCTGCACAACCGTAGAGTGAATATTTTGTACAACTTGTAACAGCATAACATTATACTCTGTGGCCCATGTAGAAACTCAGTTGGTTTTATTTCTGTTGTGTGTTTTCTAACTGGCATTCAAATGTGAATGACTTCCTGCTAGAAATAAATGCAGTAATGAATCCATGCTTTACTGTATACAGTGTAATTTAATATCATGTATTTTATGCTGTGTGAAAAAACTCACAAAACAATCACTGCTCTCAGATACAGTGTGTACAGTCAACAGCAAGGTTGATAAAGCTCTAGTTTTACATGATGAAACCTGAGGAGATTTTGAGCAGTATCTGTCCAAGACAACTCTGCAAGTCAGATCTGCAACATCCATGTGGGCTCTTGATTTGCCTTCTGTCTCTGATAGAAAGTATTTTAAAATTTGTCTTTGTATTTAAAACTTGTTTGTATTTTCATAAAAATTAGCTGGTTTTTTATGTCAGTTCTTCCTACATCAGCAGTGAAAATGAACCCTAATCTGTTTGTCCCCCAGTACTTATTCTTATCTTAGAGACTGTAGCTAAGATAAATGGTGATATGGCAGATTTTTCTCTGCATCTAAAAAGCAAATCACAAACAGTATTTTTCTTGCATAATATTTAAAGAATATTCTAGAGAAAGACTTGTGTGGACAAGGGATTATTGAGAGGATCTGCAACAGACAACACTGTGACTGAATGGCACTGAGTAATTAATGAAAAACACAGGAGGAAATTCACCTCTTTCACTGAGAATGTCTGTTCCTACAGTGGCCAAATTCTGACCTCAATTATATCTGTGTGACCTTATCTAGCACCATCTGTTCAAAAATGCATGCCTAGCTCCTTTTTGCTGTCTCAAATTTTCCAAAAGTGTGCTTTGAAATTTAATTAAGTATTGTAGCTATATCTGTAATTTGTTAACATTTAAATCTTGATTTACTTACACTTTCTAATATTAACGTACACAAACACATGAAAATCAAACCTGAAAATAATTTTATTAATAAAAATAATGACCTGTTTGGTTAGCATTTGCTATGGAAACTTATTAAGTGTGGATTTTTTTGACACCTAGGATTTTGAATCCATCATGTTTCTAACTAAAATATATTTTTAAATGACTCTGTTTTGTGGTATTCTGTTTTGAGTAGATTTGTGGAAGCACTGTACTCTTCAGTTTTTAAAATTCTTTTTTTTTTTGCTTCTTGCAATACATGTGTTCTCTCATCACTGAATGACACTAGTAAGGATGAAAAGATTCATTCACGGTGAATGTCTCCATCACCTACCTCTTAAATCTTCTAGGAAAGACCCTTATGCCCTCTCTCATGCTTGAGAAGAGCTATGTATAAACATTTTCATAGCTACTTAGCTATCCTCACCTGAATCCTTCATAAAACTCAGCATCAGTGTGAGGTCTGTCAGAATGTCTAAATCAAATGTTTATCCAAATCTCTGCTTCCCATACTGTTTTTATGTTGTCTTCCCCAACAATCTTTTTTCATGTGTTCTCTCTTACTTGTACTGTAAGGTCTTTAGGGTATGGGTTGTAATTTAATGTTAAGTTTTCACAGCGCATAGCACCTGTGTATCCTAGTTTAACACTCCTTGATCCCTGACAATACGTTAATGAGCATTTATATATATAATGAGAAAACATACAGATGATAATTATAACAATCAAGCAGCTATCGATAATATCTAAACAATAGTAGTCATGTTTCCATTGCTAAACTTGGTTTTGTTACCACTTTTTTTATATCAGATTCTGAAGTTACAGTAGCTTACTTTCTTTGTAACCTCAAAATAATTATTACATGTCACAGAATATTATGTTCTTACAGTATTATTTTGGTCTATTGTGGCGTTCTGTCTCAAAACAAGTTATGTGTAATATATTTCCTATTCGTAATTGCTATACTGGTCCACTGCAGTAATAAAGTTGTCACACGGAACATGTAATGGACCACTTTACATTGTTGGAACTGCTTTTTTTATTATAACTCCTTGTAACTTTATGATGTCTTCATAAATGTGATCCATGGCAATAATAAAGTTGTTGGACAAATACAGCAAGTACTGTTTGTTTCCCTCAAGTCTAAGAGTTATTGTGACATTGTTAAATGAACATAGTTAAAGTTTTCAGTGTTGAAAGGAAGGTAACCAGAACCTTGTATATACAAATACTATTTTAGAAATATGGCAACTTAGAACATCTACATCTATTTCATGTGGTTTGGGTATGCCTACCAAAATTTTTTAACAGGATCCTCACTGAGTTAGGATTATCTAAAATTAGAGGGTGTGTCAACACATGCAGCACTGTAATGTGTGCATGGTTAGAACACCACAAGCAATAAATAATTGCTTTGGAAGGTAATTTACAATGTGTAAGCCCCAACTTTGAAAAGAAAATTGTGTGATGTCTGAGCATAGTGCTCTGCCCAATTTGTTTTCTCTGTAGTCTTTGTTAGGACACACTAATGCCATTCTGTGGTTTTCCATGTACAGGTGGTCTATACAAACGAAACCCTTCGTTTTATACTGGCTTCTGTGTCTCATAGTCAAGTTCATCCACTTAAAGCTTGCTCAGATATCACAGCCCCATAGTGTTCAGTGTAAGGATGGTTGAAAAACTTTGAAGACATTTTAAGAATGGGGCTGAGAAGTGGCAAAGAGCTAGTTCCTGCTCCATGACATCTGAACCGCATGTATCCAGAACTCTGCAGCAATTCTAAACCACTGAAGAAGTGTACAAATCAGGTCAAAGTCATTTTGAGCATCTGTTTCAGCATTGTACAAACCATTCAATTACTGTCCTTTGCAAGTTCCACTGGACTCTGATACTAACCACAGGGGTTATTAAGTGGGAAATGCATCTTTTTTGGCTTCAGACTGACAAACTAGAATCTTGAACAAAAACCCTCTTGATAGCATTTTACCAACTATATTTTAAGATGAAATGACTGAGATACAAAGCACAGAAATACAAAGTTTTGAGCTTCCGCTACATTTTAAAGTTCTTATTTGTGCCAGAAGTTGACCTTCTTACTGATCAAATC